TCTTTCTCTCTTTCTCTCTTTCTCTCTTTCTTTCTTTCTCTCTTTTTTTCTCTCTTCCTCCCTCCCTCCCTCCCTCCCTCCCTTCCTTCCTTTTTTAATTCTTCACCTGAGGATATTTTTCCATTTATCATCAGACAGAGTGGGAGGGAGAGAGAGAAAGAGGGACAGAGAGAAACATCCATGTGAGAGACACATTGACTGGTTACCTCCCGCACGACCCCAACCAGCGCTGGGGAAGAACCACAACCAAGGTTCGTGCCCTTGACCGGAATCAAATCCGTGACTCATTGGTCAGTGGGCTGATGCACTAACCATTGAGCCAAACTGGCCAAGGCTCTTTCTTTCTTTTTTCAATTTTTAGGTTTAATTTTTTTTAATCCTCACCCAAGGACATTTTGCGATATTTTGTTCAGATAGAGTGGGAGGTAGAGAGAGAAAGAAACATCAATGTGAAAGGGACACATTGAGTGGTTGCCACCCACATGACCCAACCAGGGCCGGGGACAAACTGCAACCGAGGTACATGCCCTTAGCGGGAACCGAACCCAGGTCTCTCCGGACCGCAGGCCGACGCTCTAACCACTGAGCCAAACCGGCCAGGGTGGCTCTTTCTTTCTTTTTAAAAAAATAACCTTTTCTCTTCAATTACCAAAGTAATACATGCTTATTGTAGAATAGATAGAAAAAAACTATACAGAGAAGCACGAAGAAGACAGCGCAAAGATATTTCTCCCTTCCTTCCCACAGCTCCAACATGGCCTCTCTCTGGTCTTGGATTCACTGGACAGGGAATACACCGGTGAGCCCTGGAATAGGACAGCTGTGCCTTTAGGAAGCTAACATTCAGCATTTTGTATTTTGATACATAGGACTTTGAGCAGAGGGAACCAGGTGCATTTTTCAGAAGATAAACCAGGGATGAGGAAGTTTGCTATGGGCACTTTTCCAGGGCTTTGGGCCTGGCTGGAACAGGGGGTTCCTCCTTTATCAGCTGTGCAACCTCAGACAAGTCACTTAATATCCCCTATGCCTTGCATCTTCATCCGGAACATAGGACTGGGCATCCCTAACTTATCTAGCCATGGGGCACGTTTTCCATGTCCAACATCGTCTGCAGCACTGGAACCCCAGGTTCATTGGCAGAATATACCCTCCTTTACATGGGTATTAGGGCTAAGTTCTTTGTTCAAAATGGTTCAGTGCCTTGGGAGACAGATCTGAACTCTGATCCTGGTTTCATCTTTAATCAGTACTCAGTCAAGTCCTTTTACATTTTTGCGCCTCATTTCCTCATCTGTCCAAATTGTGCCTATGTTATAGGGTGTTTGGAAGGTTTCAACATAACAATACATATAAAGTGCCTGGCTGGGTGCTTTACCCTGAGAAAGTGCTTGGGAAACATGAGCTATGACCACCATCCTCACTGACTGCAGCCCTAGATGTCTGGCACGCTCAGGGAGGAGGGTGCAGGGCCTGGGCCCTGCTCTTAAGGAGTTTTAAGTTTCCCTGGATGTCTGTCTGACTTCAGACTCTTTGCTCCTGCCACTCTACCATTTGAGTTGGGCCTTGATGGATGGATCAAGTTTGAGCCCATGAGGATGGAAGGCAGGAGGGGCCTTGTGGATATGAAGCCATGTAAGCAAAGCCTGGGAAATGAAATAGTGTGGAGCATGTCAACATTAAGAAATGTCCAAAGCTGTAGATAATTTTTATGAGTTTATTTGAGTCAAGTTGACAACATATGCCGGGGAGCAAGGTCTCAAATACTCTGGAGAATAACAATTTTGCTGCTTCTTTTATGCATTTGAACTTACGTGGAAGTGCGTGAAGGCATCATGGGGCTTGTATTATAGGATAGTCAACAAGATTATGTGCTCTCTTGAGGGTTAATACCCCCCTTCCAGGGGTATTACTTCTGGTTGAAATTAGAGGTTTATTTACCTAGATGCTCAGAACAATGAACAGGGCTTGCTTAAAACCTTTCACTAAAGAAGTTACAAGCTTGGGACATGACTACCCACCATGATCTGCCCAGTTAGGAATTTATGATCAGATCACCCTGTGAGGTTACTTTCCATAGAAACCCCCCCCCCCCTTTTTTTTTTCATCCACAGGCATAAATGGAAAACTGCAAGTGTTTTAGTTCGATTCCATGTGAGGGCCTCGTCTGGTTCATCTCACATAAGCTTTAGCTAAAACTTGAAGTACCCACTATGCATGCACTCCTCTAAGGATTTTATATCCAACACCTTCTGGATCCTCACAGTAAATGGAAAGGTCACTTTTGCTATTCCCTTTGCAAAGATGAGAAAATTGATGTTCAGAGAGGTCCAGCAGCCAGACCAAGAATTCAGTGCTAGGGGTGGATAAGGCAGGAATTCAAGTTCAGAGAGACAGATTGCAGATCTGTGCCCCACACCTTTTGCAGGAATTAGTTCCCAGGCAGTGAAACTCTAAAGCCAGCCCCAGCTGCCCGAAACTCAACCGCAGAGAGCTGGCTCTCAGTCCCCTTGCTGGCTCTCTTCTTTCCTCTCAGCCCCACCCTGCCACCCCCATTTCCCTTCCTGGCCCTGGGGCTCTGCTTCTTCCCCAAACCTGCTCTGCTGCAATTTCTTCCAGGTTCCCACATCTGTAAAATGGGAATAAAAAAGAGTGCCTGTCTCAGAGGGGTGTTGTGAGGATCAGGGAAGATGCCCAAGAGCTTGGAGTCTGGCACACAGTAGGTTCCTCATAAATATTAAAGATCATCACCACCACCACCATTTTATTTTTTTTCTTTCTGTCTTTTTACATTTTTACCACCACGATTTTAATTGTGTCTCTGAAGTTCTGCGAAATAGGCCAAGTGAGAGCATTATCCATGTTCGATGGCTGAGAAGTGAAGCAGCTGTTTGTTCAGGGTCACTCAGCTAAGGAGTGGAGAGTGGGACCACCTTCTGCATGCAAAACGAGGCCCAAAACGAGGGGCATTCAGAGAGAGTTCCCACATTATCTTTTGAGGCATAAGGATTGAAAGTGCAAGAGAGACTCTGGTAAAGGGGAGACAGGCAAGGAAGGCTTCCTGGAGGAGTTGAGGTTTAAATTGGGCCTTGAAGGCCCAGTGAAATATGTAGATTAGAATAAAGAAGTCTGTGTACTAGAGATGGCAGAGATGTAACCACAGGTGCCATTTCTCGAGATTTCTTATGAACCAGGTTCTATGCTGAGAGTTTTATATGCATTATCTTATGAAAATTTCCCAGAATCCTACAAGGTGATTGTTACTAGGGATGAGAAAACCTAGGCTCAGAGTTTACAAAACTCGCCTGGGGTCACACAGCTAGTAAAGTGATAAGGCCTGGATTTAAACCCAAGGCTATCTACTAGAAAGTCTGGGCTCTTAATCATCATGCATTATTGCCACCTCAGCCTCACTATCTGAGGATGAGGACTAGGTATTAAGTGGGGACTGACTCTGAAGGGCTATAAATGACAGGCTCAGACATGCAAAAAATTACACAGCACCAGGCAGGAATCAGCAGACCTGGAATTTAGCAGCAGCTTCTAGCAGCATTGCCATTCACTAGCCAAGGTCACTTCTCTGAGCCTCAGCATCTCTAAACTGAAAAGAAGAATGTAAATGGATTATCAATGATGAAGGTTTTGAATGAGGGAGGGAGGCTCTTGTGACAAAATGATTGTTTAGGAAAAACCTGGAGATATTCAAATATTTACTGAGTGTTGGGCTCTGGGAATACGACTGTGAACAAGACAGAGCTATGCACTCTGGACCCTCACCTACCCAACTCATGCCTGCTAATGGCTGGGCACAGCTAGGGAGAGTTGGGGAGGAACCTTTTACTGGAACAAACAGGGCTCAGGAGCTGGCCTCTCCCAGATTAGACTGCTAGTTCTCAAATCAGCAAATCTCTCCATGTGACCTGGGGCAAGTTACCCAGCCTCTCAGCCTCTCATCTTCACCAGAAAGACCCTCATTCCCCTTCTCAGGATTGTTGGATTAAATAAAATAAAACAATACACGTAATCATCTAGCAGGGCACTCAATAGCTGTTATTATCTTCCTACTAAGAGGTATAAATGTTAAGCTCTGTCCTTCTTCCCCCACTCCTCCCCTACCTCCACCACCCCACCATCCCCCTGCCAAGAAAGAGAACAGATTCCTGGCTTACATTTTAGTGAGAAAAAGGACAGAAATGCATCAACGCTAGTTAAGCAACCATGCCAACTAACAAAGGGCCCTCCAGCCTGGGTAATATACTGCTGGGTCTGGGCTCAGGTCAGAACTCTGTTTGCGCCCCACCCCCAGGGAATTCGGGCCCATTCCCCAGAGCGCTCCGCACCGCTCCGCGGCTTCAGTACTATACGGGAACCACCCTCCCAGGCGGCTTCCCGAGCCACAGCAGGTGCGGCTGTCTCTTTAAGCAGCCAAACTCCTGTTGCAATAGCTGTCTGGGGGACGGGTCCTTTCCGGGGGGTGGAGCCTATGCTTGTTGCAGCGACCAACGGAAACGCCGCATTTTCCGCGGGAGATCCGAATTTCGCGGCACGCAGTTTGGCGCTAAAAAAAAGAAGAAAAAAAAAAGAGGCAGAGAAAGACTCGGGGACTAAAGAGCGAGGAGAGAGGGAGTCGGTGCAATCGGTCCCCCTCCCCCATACGAGCTCCTCGCGTCTCAGTCGAGCTCGCGGGCAAGCCAGAGACCCCTCCCCAAAGACCCTAGGCGCCGGGCCCTCAGGGGCGTGGGGCCGTCCCGGGTCGCGGCCGCCCTTGGGGCGGGGCAGCCCCTGGCTGTGCGGCCGCCGCGATCGTAGCCGCGGTGTGATCTCCTAGCGGGGATCTCCAAGCGTTGCTCCGCTGGGCCTCGGGCCAGGAGGGGAGGGTCCGGCCTTGCCCCGCAGGCGTCCATTGGCGGCTTCCCCTGGCCTCCGCACCATGCTGCGGGCCGTGTGAGCCACCGCTGGCTCCGGAGCCCGCGGGTGCCCGCGGGTGCGCCAGGGGAGGGGGCTCCGCGCTCGCCATGCTGCGAGGGCCCCGGGCCCAGGCTCCGGCCGCTGGGCCGACCCTGAAGGGGCTGCCCGCGATGAGCCCCACCGAACTGTGGCCGCCTGGCCTCGGCAGCCCCCAGCTCTGCCCGGTCACCACCACCTACTACACCACGCTGTACTCGCAGACCGTGCCTCCCGCTGCGGTGTCCGGCACCTGCCTCGACGCCACCCCCCACGGACCGGAGGGCCAAGCTGTGCGATGCGTCCCGGCTGGCCGGCTGCCGGTAATTCTGGGGACCCTTCCACCACCACCCCACCTCTTCCCCCTATGCTTTCGGGTGTGGGAAAGGAGGGAGGGGCGCCTGGGACCCAGTTCGAGAGAAGCAGGTAGAGTTTGGGGAGGGAGAAGGGGAGCTTTAAGCTTTCAGGACAATTCAATGCCCCAATGGAGAAGAGCCCTTCATTTTCAGACGGGATGAAATATTGTAACCTCATCCATTGGAATGGAGTGGAATGTACACTGGAGTGGGCACCCAACCCAGTATCCCTAGTGCACCCTGTGGCTTTGGGGAAGTCCAGGGAGCCAACTTTGCCATCATTCATTCATTCTTCATTCGTTGTTTGGCCCAGAAACCAGTACTGGGCACCTGCTATTGTGCTGGCACAGAGCTAGGCTTGCTGATACTGTAGGGACTTTAAAGTGTGTGTATGGGAGGGGGGGGTCCTCTCAGGTCCAGTATGGTATGGACAGGGTCCAACTTTTCCATCCAGCCAACTCCTTCCCAATTATCTGCCTTGGGTCCTCCCCCAGGCCCAGTCTTCCCAGACAGCCAGTAGCAGGTGCAAGTTGGGGGCAGCTCCCTGTTCAGATCGACTGTTCCTTCCTCAAGCCCCAAGTCTGTTGCCAGGGAGGGCCCAAAGTGTGGTGGCACTAGGCACAGGGTGTGTTTTGTGGGAGTGGAATTCCTGGATGGAGTCCATGAGAATCTAAACAACGGTAGGGTGAGGGTGGAGTGGGAAAAGCCCTAGGGGAATGGGGGTGGTGGTTGGAGAGTCTGGTTTCTGGTCTTAACTGCCACTAATTCACTGTGTGTCCTTGGACAAGTCTTAGCCCCAGTCTGGGCATCAGTTTCATTTTCTTTAAAATGTGTGTGTGCATGGAATAGTTGTGGGGCTGACTCATCTCGGGTCACTTACAGCTCCAGGTCCTGGATTTTGGAAGCAGGTTCCAGGGAGGGGGTGTTGTAGGTTTGCTTAGTTGTGAGTGGTGAATAAGTTCAGGTAAAGGAATAAGACCACACACCTAGAGGCATCTGGTCAGACCTGTGTCAGTCAACAGGCACAGACCCCCAGCCATTTCTGGATGCAGGCAGAGCCCTAACTCTCTGCTACTGGAATCATGCTTTGTCCATATTCAAGGCTTTAACCTTCCTAGAGCCCCTTCCTGCATGTCATTTCCAACTAGGAGGAAGGAGAGCTCTTCCCATTTTATAGGTCAAGCAGCCAAGGATAACTAAGACTGGGTATCTATCTTGCATTCAGCATTTTACAGCCTAAAACAGTTTTGAACTTTGTGAAGTATATGGCATTAGCAGTTCCATGTTGCAGGGGGAAACAGGCTCAGAGAGGGGATGTCACCTGCCCAAGGCCATACAGGGAGATATATGACCTACAGGCAGGTGATCATTAGTCTCTTCTATGCAGCCTTGACTTTTCCCAGTGCTGCCTGACTGAAGAGCTGTGCGCTCCCCAGGAAGGGGCTCAGTGGCTGGCCCTGTTTCCTCTGGCCAGCTGCTGTAAGGCACCCAGGCGGAGTTTCAGTAACAGCTGTAGTTTTGAACTGCTTCCGTCCCAGAGGAGACCTAGTGCATCTGTTTGTACCTCCCTCCCTGAGGGGCTCAGTAATCACAGCAAGAATGGCTCTCTTTTACTGAAAGCCTGTTGTGTGCCAGGCACTGCTTGTCACTCTTCACATTCGTTATCTTGGTCAAGGTGCCTGGGATGAGGCATCTTACAGATGAGGAAACTGAGCAGAGATGTGAAGTTGCTTGTCTGAGTAACAAGCCAAGAGGTGAGAGAGTCTCCTTGAGTCAGACACCCCAAAGGCCTACCAGACCCAGAGTCCCCTCTCCTGTCAGTCCTCAGATGCCTGATGCCCCCAGCCCTACGTGCAGGCCTTGGCCCCCTGCTTACTCATTTCACTAGGGTGTGACCTGGAGCAGTTCCAAACCCAACCCTGGGTGTGGCCGCTTGCTTTGTGGCCAGGCTGCAAAGTGCAGGGTGAGCAGGATTTGTCAGTGAGCTGCTGTTTAAAGGGACCTCAGGCACTGCCCAGGGACGGGAACCAAGTTCAATGGCAGAATGAAGTCCAGAGCCCAGGACTCTTCTCTCCTTGTCTAGTGCTTTTTCCACTACTCTCTGGAGAGGCTTGGGATGATCATCTGTTGAGTCCCTACTCCAGCCAGGCACACCACATCATTGTCTTTCATCTCTGCAGGAACCTGTGAAGAGGGTGGGATTCTGCACTCTTCTTTTTTTCTTTCAATTTATCTATACTATCCAAATTTTCTTTGAGAACCATGAAAGAAAATGAACATTTTAACGAATAACCCTATAAATTGGGTCAGATAAGGAAATGTAGTCTCAGAGCAGCAAGGCAGCAAATCCCAAGCTGGGATCTGGGACTGAGGCTCTCAAGCAGGGCCTTACACTTGCTCCTACCCCATCATCTAACTTAGGACTTGGGGCTTAGGAGAGGCTTGGCTCTACTCCCTGTGTGACCTTGGTCAAGTCGCTTCCTCTCCGAGCCTGGTTTCCTTACCTTGCTGCCTGCAGAGGGGTTGTGTCTGGTGGGCTCTGGCCCTCTCACTTCTGGGGCTGCCTGAGAAAGGAGCTCTGCCCTTCTCCTTCGGGATTGGCTGGGTGGCCTCAAATCTTATCCAGCCTTTAAGAAACTGCCAAAGGGGCTGAGCCACTGTGGCTCAGTGGTTGAACATCAACCCATGCACCAAGAGGTCGCCTGTTCAATTCCCGGTCAGGGCACATGCCCAGGTTGTGGGCCAAATCCCCAGTAGGGGGCATGCAGGAGGTGGCCAATCGAAGTTCTCTCTCATTGATGTTTCCATCTCTAGCTCTCCCTCTCTCTCTCTCTCTCTAAAATCAACAAAGAAAGAAAGAAAGAAAGAGCCAAAGCGGCTGCCTAAGAGGGTCCAGGTTAGAGCCAAGCTGGCCTCTGGGTGTGGTCCCAGACTTTTGCTCTTGGCACATCCCTGTCTTTTTAGCTTACCTCTGAACTTTCCCTTTTCTGGTGCCCTAGCACGTTAGTGATAGCAGCTTCCTTGCAAAGCGCTTTGCTGCACCGTCTCACTGAATCCTCAGCAGAGGTCCAGCAGCGTAGCCCTATTTTACAGGTGGGACTCAAGAAATCAACTGACTGGGCCAGCTCACCCAGCTAAGAAGTGGGTGGGAGGACTAGAGGGAACCCAGGTGGGTCTGACTCCAAGGCCTGTGCTCAGCCTCTCCTTGGTCCTCTTCCTCCTGGGCTTGTCCTCTGTCATTTGTGTTGCAGGCTCAGGCCCACCCATGAGCTGACCTTTCTCTGGGCAGTGCGCAAAGGTGTCAGATGTCCTTGGGTGACTTTGCTGCTTAGGAATTCTGAGAGTGCAGGATAAGGGTGAGAGAAGGGAGAGGGTTGGTGTGTGTGTGTGTGTGTGTGTGTGTGTAAAGTAAAGTGATGGGGGCAAGAAGGTTATGGCCAGGCCTGGGCCCAAATTCCAATAGATTCTGAGGGAATTTGTGTGGGATGGAGCTGAAGCAGCCTGGTACATGGCTTTGGAATCAGACAGACCTGGGTTCAAACTCTGGCTCTGCCCTTTGTCTGTGTGACCTTGGGCACATGGCTTAACCTCTCTGAGTCTCCACTTCTCCTCTACCGAGAGAGATTGCCAATACTGACGTTGCAGAACTGATGAGCATGTGATAGGCCCAGCACGGGGACTCTTTCAGGGTCCTCCCCTCCTTCCCATTCTGCAGGTAGTGAGGTTCTTCCTGGTGTTTTGTGAACTCAGCAGGGGCTGGCTCCTATCGGGAAGGGAGGTAGTTGGGGTTGGGGAGATTCTAGGTTGCCCTACACCTCTGCCTCAGGTAGCACTCAGACTGACTTCTCTTCTCCTGCCCTTGGCATTCCTTTTGAGGAGTGGATGAAGGATTCTGGGATCGATAACTTGATCTGGATTGAAAAGGCCTTGGAGCTTACCAAGTTTCCGTTACTTCAGCTGTAAACTGGGGATCACTGGTGTTGGGAAGATTCAGTGATGTGATGAGTGTTGGGGCATGGGCCAGGGCATGTAGAAGGTCTTGGCGAATGATTGGGCCTTTCTCTAGAGACAAGATGGGGCAGAGCAGACCACCTTCCCTAGAATCTAGGATGTCACCAGCGGAGGGGGTTAGAAAAGGAATATTCCAGAGAGACTTGAAAAGGAATGAGCAGGGAGGCATTTCACTTATGCCCAGGTCTGGGTAGGTATGGAGGAGAGAAATATCTTATTCAGGCTCCTCAAACCAAGGAGCAGTTCTTCTCAAATCAATCCAGGAAGGTTTCCTGGAGGAGGTGTGTGTGGAGGGGGGCAGCACAGAGAGGAGCTTAGAGCAAGAACTGTATCACCTCCCACACCTGTTGGCCCAGCTGTGCTCAGCAGCGGTTAGAAGTCTCAGCCCTGCCAAGCATGACCTCACCAACAAAGGTTAAAATAGGCCTCTCTGTCCCAACCAGGGGAAGGGTGACTGGGGAAGGGGAGAGGAAGAAAATAGGATCAACGACCCCCAGAAGTGTGTCAGGAAGAGGCTGAGATTGGATTTTAGAGAAGGGACTGCATTTCCTGAACATCTACTGTGTGCTGAGCCACAGGCTGAGCACTTTTTCTGCTTCATTTTACAGAGGAGAAAACTCAAGCTCCTAGATGTGGAGCATTTCCCCAAGTCATACAGCATGCCTGTAAAGGAGCTGGGAGATGCAAGCCCAGGTCTCTGACCCCAGTGCCCCAGTGCCCTGGCCCTGCCCCTGCCCAACCCTAACCAAGAGAGAGGCCCCTTCCGGGCCAGTGTAGCTTCTGGGCCTAATGGGGCCGGGTGGCAGTGGGGTGTAGAGGAGCAGATGGGTCTGTGGTTTGATTTCCCCAGCAGGTGTTTCCCAAGCTTGGCGGGAACAGGGAGGGGGAGCAGGGGGACCTCAGCTGCTTGTCCTTAAGACACAGGGGAAGGATTCATTGTCTGCCCTTCGCCACAAAGAAAGAATGGCAAATGGAGTCTATTCAGGAGGTCCTGGGGCCCTTGAGCTGGAGCCCAAACATAGGGGTGGGGGATGTTTGCACTGCTTCCCAATGTGGGCACCTCCCTGAGGTGTGGCACCGATCCAGGAAGTCCTCTGGGCCTGGGTGGATGCCCAGCCCCACCCTGATAAGGGCCAGCTGTGGGGCTGTGATGGGCACCCAGTCTGGCTGGGCCAGCTGCTTCTGCAGGAGGGGGGGCCTCTCCCCAGTCTGATGTGGTTTAGGCCCCACCCACTCCTTCCTGCATTATCCTCTGTGCCTAGGGGGGAGGGGGCAGATGTAGAAGTGACCTTGTGGCTTATTATTAAGGAACTCTGAGCTCTTGGCTAGACTGGCTTTGGTAGGGTCTCAAGTGCCCGGGCCTCAGAGGATGGGAGTGTTGTGTGCCTCTCAGAAAATAGGACTTCCTTCCCCTGAAAGGTCACTTTTCAGGTCATTGATATTTCCTTACCGAGTACAGTGATGTTTTACCAGGACTGGTGGTAAACTGAGGCAGGAAGTGGCTGCTGGTGGCCTCTGTGCTTTGGCCCCAGGTTGGGGAAAGGCCGAAGGACGAATGATTCTCAAACTCTGCCTCTCTCTCTCTCTCTCTCTCTCTCTCTCTCTCCTCTCCCCCTCTCTAAGGCCAAAAGGAAGCTGGACCTGGAGGGGATCGGGAGGCCTGCAGTCCTGGAATTCCAGACTCCCAAGGAGAAGTGCATTAGAGTGAATGGCCTCCCCAGCCCTAAAAGTAAGTTGTGCCGATGGGACATCTGGAGGCAGACTCAGGGAGGGGTAGGCAGAGGCAGAGGGCAACAGCCCTGCCCAAATCATCAGGAGTAATATTTGTAGCACACTTCCTGGTGTATAAAACAGTTTCTTGAGTGTTCTCTCACTGGATCCTGCCAGGTAGATAGGATTACCCCTTTTTTACTGGTGAAGCAACTTGCGCCTCAGCTTGAGTGTCTTGCTCAAGGTCACACTGCTGGTAAGTGGCGTGAGGACTGCAGCCTGGCCTTGTACCGCTTCTCTCACGCCGTGCGCTGCTCTTCGGCTCTGAACACGACGGCCAACGACTTGTCTGGAACTTACTGTTTTTATTCAATCTGACCTTTTCTAAAAGACAGAATCCAGCTCAGAGAGGAGCAGGGCCTTCCTCTTGTATGCAGACAGAGAGCCAAATAAGTGACTCAAAGGGAAGTGAAGCTTGGATTAATCCAACCTGTGCTACCTCAGAGTTTTTTAAGATCCAGAGGCTGCCCAGGTAGTGACTTCCTAAAGCCAAAGTGGAGAGATTTTCTGCCTTGATATTTGCAGTCAATATTCTGGTGAGAGTGGAAGTTTCAGCTCCTGTGTTAGGGAGGAATGCTAATTTTGGGGGTCAGAGACCTGATGAAGAAGGTATGTGACTGGGTGGGAAGCATGAGGGTCAGGAATTTGGAGGTCCTGGCAGGGCTGTGCCCTGACCTGGCTTGCCACTCCTCTTCTGTGAACTTTAGTTGTCTCATCTGTAAAATGAGGTACAGCTAGATCAGGAATAGTAAAAGTTTCCTTTCCAATTGATTGGTAGAAGCTGCCAGAGCTCTTTGTGGTAGGATCCTAAATGCACTGATCAATTAGTAATGTCTGCCATGGGTTTAAAAGTTGAAAAAGCAGCCTGTGTGCCAAATACTTGTCATCTGTATGTTAAGAGCTTCCGAAGTCCTCTTCTGGAGGAATCTGAGACTCTCTAAAACTCAGTTTCCTGAACTAGTTTGGACACTAGCTATATGACTTGCAAGTTACTTTATTGCAAAAGTTCTCTTGTGGTTTAAGATGTTGCAGCTGAAATGTGGTCTTGTGACATCAGCTTCATTGGGAAAGGGACCTTTTCATGAACCTGTCCCGTTTGCTATTGTAGGACCGATTCCTCTCAGATAACCGCGGGGCTGCACATAGAAAGGCAAGGCAAGCCTAGGAATGTTCTCAAATCTAAGCTCATCATTCCCTCCCTGCCCTAATTCCAAATTTCTGACATTACTGGCAGGATAGGGTAATAGTTAAGAAGGAAGACTCAGCCAGACTGCCTGAATTTAAATCCCAGCTTTGCTGCTTTCTAACCAAGTGAGCTGAGCAAGTTACTTGACCTGTCTGTGCCTCAGTATTCTCATTGATAAAATGGGGATGGTTATACACCAGATGTATAGGGTGTTGTAAGGATTAGATGTGTTGTATATGGAAATTGCTTAGAACAGTGAGCTATACATAATAAGTATTTGTTGTTGTGTTGGTGGTGGTAGTGGTGGTGATATAGCTGCCTATGCTGTGGTGGAAAAGTCCTCTAAACCAGGAATTAGGACACTTGGTTTCCAGCCCTGACACTGCCCTTGACTGTGAGACCTTAAGCAAATCACTTTCCTTCTCTAGGTATCAGGCTCCCTGTTTGGACAATGGTAGCAAATGACCCCCTGCCTCACAGTGCTCTGTAACTGGAAAGTGGGTGCTTTTGTGAAGGGTGGTATAAGTGGGTTCAAGTCAATGGAGGAGGCTCCCCAGGCTGGCCCTCTCTGAGCAGTGACTGGGCCCCTTTCCTCCTCAGCACCCAAGTCCCCTGGGGAGAAGACTCGGTATGACACGTCACTGGGGCTGCTGACCAAGAAGTTCATTTACCTCCTGAGTGAGTCCAAGGATGGGGTCCTGGACCTGAACTGGGCTGCCGAGGTGCTGGACGTGCAGAAGCGGCGCATCTATGACATCACCAATGTGCTGGAGGGCATCCAGCTCATCCGCAAGAAGGCCAAGAACAACATCCAGTGGGTGTGAGTGCCTGGGCTGGGGCTGATGGCACCAATGGGTGCATGTGATGGGGGCGGGGCTGGAGCAATATCCAGTGTGTATGAATGGGGGGCTGAGTGCAACATCCAATGGGCACAAGTGTTAGGGGCAGACCAAGAGCAACATCAATAGGCTTATATGCTGGGGGTGGAGCCAGTGTATCTTCCAGTAAAATGGAAGAGCAGGTATATATGCTGGAGCAATATTAGGAGAGCATGGCAGGGGCAGGGCAGAGAATGCTTTCTAGGATGTGTTATGGCCTAAGAGGATTGCATCCTCTTGAGTCAGAGATCCCAGGATTTCCCTCTTCTAGTTTAGGAAAGTCCCCTGGAAGCTGAGCAGTAACAACCCAGACTCCTTCCAGCTCAGAGATATGAGTACTCCAGGCTCCTTTCCTCAATTCGACAAGGTCTTAAAGAGCTGACCTGCAGCCCCTGGCACGAACCCTAAGAGAATCCGGGCAGGGGTTCAGGACAGGTCATTCTAGCTCCTTGCCATTTGGGGGAGGCAGGGGCATAGGTTGGACAGAGTTGAAAGCGCTCCACAAGTAGGGTCACGCCCTGACTTGTTTCTTTTCTCTGGCCCAACCCACAAACCTCAAGGTTCAATCCTTGGCAGCTCCCTGGGAGCTAGACAGGACTGCTGATCTGTACAACCCAGGAGCACCCATGTAGACCATGTGAATGGCTTCATCCTGGGGTTTTACACCATCTGTGCAGCTCTGCACAGCAGTCCTCGCGCTGGGGTCCCTGGTTGTGGACTGAGACTGACTCTGGTGGGCTGCTCTGTTCCCAGAGGCAGGGGAATATTTGAAGACCCCACCCGGCCTGGGAAGCAGCAGCAGCTGGGGCAGGAGTTGAAGGAGCTGATGAGTACGGAGCAGGCCTTGGACCAGCTCATCCAGAGCTGCTCTCTGAACTTCAAGCATCTGACCGAGGACAAGGCCAACAAGAAATATCCTCTTTGGTTGGGAGAAGGTTGTCAGGGAGCTGGGGCCTGCTGCATGTTCGTGTCTATCCAGAGTTAATGCAATACTTCCCTCGGGCTCTGGCATATCTGCATATCTGGTTTTTTATTTCTGGGTGGCTTTTCTTTTGAACTCTATTGAAGTTACTTTCTCATAGTAAAAGTAAGACAAATACATTTCTTTAAATCTGCAAAATGGAGAAAAGAAACAGCTGCCACCATAACCTAGCCATTTTCTTTCTTTCCCTTCCTTCCTTCCTTCCTTCCTTCCTTCCTTCCTTCCTTCCTTCCTTCCTTCCTTCCTTCCTTCCTTCCTTCCTAGAAGAAGGGGGAGAGAGATAGAAACATCGATGTGAGAAAGAAACATCGAGGATTGGCTGCCTCCTTCACACCCCCTACTGGGGATTAAGCCTGCAACTTGGCATGTGCCCTGACCGGGAATCGAACGGGCACCTCTCAGTCCATGAGATGACACTCAGTCCACTGAGCCACACTGGCTGGGCCATAGCCATTGTCTTTAACCATACGAAGGTTATGTGTTATTTTAATATAGTGTATGACTGCTGTATAGAACATTTTATATCCTACTTTTCTCAGTGTATTACCATAGGCAGTTTCTGTGTGGTTACAAATCCTTTCCACTTGGCTGATCCACATGAAATTGTTCACATGGAACCATTTTTTATCTACAAAAACAGCAATCTCATATGGTGTAACCTCATATTTAAAATAGTTTGAGATGCCCTGCTCAGACTACACTCTGGTTTGTTGATAAGTCCTAAAATCGACATTTAGATCTATTCTAGATTTCTGCTTTTATGAAGCAACAAAATGATGAGTGCCTTTGTATATAGAACATTTTCCCATTTTTTTACTTATTTCCCTAGGTCAGATTCCTAGGATTGAGATGATGAGGTCACAGAACGTGGACTTTCCTAAGGCTTTTCATACGTTTTTCCCAAATAGTTTCACTGTCTAATTGGTTTTTGGATATGGCCTTGTATTTTTGGAAGGATGTTAACATTGTGAAAAAAGTTATTTATTTATTTTTAAAATATTTTTTCTTTACTGATTCTAGAGAGAGGGGAAAGGAAAGGGAGAGAGAATTAGAAACATAGATGAGAGAGAACATCAACTGGCCGCCTCCTGCATGCCCCCCACTGGGGATCAGGCCCACAACCTGGGCATGTGCCCTGACTGGGAATCGAACCAGCAACCTCTTGGTGCATGGGTCGACCCTCAACCACTAAGCCATACCAGCCTGGCAATTGTGAAAAATTTAAAGAAATAAGACATGTTTTCCTTACTGAAAATTAGCAAGTGCAATAAAGAAAGAATTATAAAAGAAAAAAAGACATGCCTTCCTGCCTTCTGTAGCTTGAGAGATGAAGCCTTTATGGAAAAACCTGATAAAAGGCAGCATTAAAAAAATGATTTATATCCTCATTTGCTTTCTAAAGGGATCCAAAGTAGTTTATGATATTAAAAGAACAGGTTATAGTTTTGGGTTATTTCTAAGCTAAGGAGTGAGGAAAAAATGTTCAGAGGCCTAGGAGAGGTGGGTTGGACCCCTGCCTGGAGGGCTGGGGTGTGAAATTTGACTTCCCTTGACTCTTCTGCTCCCACACTGGCCTATGTGACTTACCAGGACATCCGTTCGATTGGCACCTTTAAGGAGCAGACAGTGATCGCTGTCAAGGCCCCTCCGCAGACAAGACTGCAAGTACCCGACAGGAGCGAGGTGAGAGGGGAAGCATTTGGTGGAGAGCAGGGTTAGGAGGCTCCTGGGCAGCCCTGTAGGCTCGGTCTATGCTTGTGCTCACGGCAATATTGATGGTCTCCAAGCTGCAGCAGAAATGACAGAAGCTGGAAAAGGCAACAGATTCTGTCCTGAGAAAAAGCTCTGTTCTGTTTGTTTGTTTGTTTTTTATCCTCACCCGAGGACATTTTTTCCATTTTTTGTTCAGATAGAGTGGGAGGGAGAGAGAGGAAGAGAGAGAGAAACATCGATGTGAAAGGGACACATCGAGTGGCTGCCACCCGCACGACCCAACCAGAGCCGGGGACAAACTGCAACCGAGGTACGTGCCCTTAGCGGGAACCGAACCCGGGTCTCTCTGGACCGCAGGCTGACGCTCCAACCGCTGAGCCAAACCAGCCAGGGCGAAAAAGCTCTGTTCTGTTTTCTCTTTCATCCCACCAGCCCCTGGTTCCTTTACACATGCATATGTGCCCACACATAGGAACATTCATACTCACAATAATCCTTTTATGCCAACCATGCTGTCCTGGATTAAAGACCAAAATTCTTTTTTTTTTTTTTTTAATTGATTCGAGAGAAAGAGAGAAACAACAATTGGCCACCTCCTGCATGCCCCTCACTGGGGATCGGGCCCACAACTTGGGCATGTGCCCTGACTGGGAATCGAACTGGCAACCTTTTGGTGCGTGGGCCGATGCTCAACCAGTGAGCCACACCAGCTGGGCGAGACCAAAATTCTTAACACTCCCTACAAGGCCCTCTGTGTTCCGACCTCGCCAACCTCCTCTCAAATGCTGCCCATCTTCTCTGTCTTTGCTTCAGCCACCGACCTGCCTGCAGTTTCCCTACCACACTAAGCTCATCCCCAGTACGGGACCTTCACACATGCTGTTCCCTGCAGCTGAAATGCCGTTCCCTCTCTCTGCCTAGTTTACTGCTGTTGATCCTACAGGTCTCAACTCAGACATCACTTCCACAAGGAAGCCTTTCATGACCACCCCCAGACTTCATTACCGCCGGTGCTTTCCCACCACACGTACCCTCCCTCCGTTCGCCGGAATATCTCGCTTCCGTGACTATGTTCTGCTTTGTCCATTAGAGTGTAAACTCCACAAAAGTACGTTCCTCTCATGTGGTACCCCCATCCCAGCGCCTGACAAAGGCTCAAGAAATAATTTGTTTAACGGAAGAACATTAAGATAAATAAGGCCCTGCCCCTACCACCTCGAGAGGGAAAAAGACCCAAGCAAGCAGTGATGCTGATTTATAGACTGAAGAGGGTGGGGAGAAAGGAGAGTTGGAGAAAGCAGCCATAGGTGGTGACAGTTAAACTGGGTCCTAAAGAATGAATAGGGTTTTGTTTTTAAGTCTTACTTATTTGTTTACATGTAGTTGTGCACAATATTGTATTGGTTTCAGGTGTACAATATAACGACTTGACAATATACACCGTCCTGTGGGATCACCACACTAAGTTTAGTAATCATCCGTCACTGTGCAAACTTGTCTCAACATTATGGAGCAGGATTTTTGCCAGGGGGAGGAGGGGAAGGAGGCTGCTGCGTGAGCACCGGCCTGGAGAGCGGAGCGCATGCCCAGACGGCAGGTGTGTAGTAGTCGTGGCTTAGGCTGCTGGTGCGAGACAAGAGGCAGAGGTGGGAAAGCCGAGTATCAGGACTCGTGGTTACGAGTAACAGAAAGACAAGTCCAACTGGCATAAGTGAGGGGGAAGGTGGGAGCTAAGTGACACGTCCAGGGGGAAGATGTGGGTCGCAGGCACGGCTGGATGCGGGGGCTCCCATTAGGACTTCAAGTTCGCCTCACGCTCTCCATCTTTCACTGTGCCGTGCTCTGTGCTGACTCTGTTCCCAGCTGGGCTCTCCCCCTGGGGCAAAGATAGCTTTCATGATACCAGCTTAGCAATCCCACTGGAAAGGGAGCTTCCATTTTCAGGATCTGGGCCTGATGCTGGTGGGACTAACCCGAGTCATGTGCGACCCTGCACCAGTCACCGTCACTCTGACTTTCTCATCCTGTATCCGAAGCTCACCCATTGGAGCTGGGGGAGGGTGCAGCCTTCTGCTCCCAATTACGTGACTTCAGAGTTGGGGAGGAGTGATTTCCCAAAGGAAAATCCAGGCATTCTTCCTAAAAGAAGGGGGCCTGGGGGCCAGGCAGGCAGAAGCAGCAGATGTTCACCACGGGCCGGATGGAGCAGGCCTCAGTGCCCAGCTCAGGCGTTTGTCCGTCCATATACACGGACCCATGAGTAAGTGTGCAGCTGCCCAGAGCCATGACCTGGCTTTTCTTCCTCCTCCAGGAGAACCTGCAGATATATCTGAAGAGCACGCAGGGGCCCATTGAAGTCTACCTGTGCCCAGAGGAGATGCAGGAGCCAGATAGCCCTGCCAAAGAGCCCGTCCCCTCCACATCCACCCTCAGCCCCACTCCTGACTCTGCCCAACCCAGCAGCAGCACCGACCCTGGGATCCTGGAGCCCACGACATCCCCAGGTAAGGCCCTCTGCCTCCAGGTCCTCGTTTGTTGGGTATGGACCTCCTACCCTGTGGCCGAGGTGTAGTCCCCCGGGTGTGTGCACTGCAGTCTACACCCTGCAGCGCTTGTGCATTCCCTGTCTCCTTGGCTGGCCGGTCCTGCTTCAGGGCGGTGGGGGAGGGGGCTTGGATTTGAATCCCAGCTCTTCCACTTCCCAGCTATGTGGCCTTGGACAAGTTATTTAACCTCTCGTTGCCTCAGTTTAAGTTGGGCCTAGTAATTAATAAGCCCTACTTCATAGGTTGCTGTGAGAATCAAATGAGTTAATGTATGTAAAGTACTTAGAACTGTGCCTAGCAATAAGTGTTGGCTGTTATTATCATTATTACTGCCACCGCCACCCGTACAGCTGCTTCTGTGACAGCCCCTGACAGCAGAGCTCCTGGCACGCAATAAACGCACAGTAAATGGACACTAGGTTTTTTGAGGAAGGCTCAAATCAACACTTACTTGAATGATAATAACTAAGGTTTTTTTTGAACCACAGCTGTACCAGGTACACCCATTCTTACATTATTCCTCACAGCAGTCCCCAGTTTAGAGATAATAAATTGAGGCAGGCAGGTGATGTGACTTGCCCAAGGTCTCCCAGCTGGGAGACAACAGAGCTGTGCCCTGAACCTTGGTCTCCACATTCCTAGCCCAGCCCTGTCTCCACGAGGCACAGAACAAATTGGGGCAGAGGCTCGTGGCTCAGCCCTGGCTGGCAGGGGGACGTATACCTGAGAGCTGGCTGGCTACTCTTGGCAGGAAGTGTACGAGGCAGCTGCCGGGAGTAGAGGTGGGAGAGGTCCCCGAGTCCTCCCAGGGAGGGTGGGAGTCCAGAAGGAATAGAGATGAGAACCTGTGAAGGCCCCTCCACTAGAATGGTGTTTGCCTTTTACTGGGATCACGCGTCAGGTCAGACTGGCAAGAGTCCTTGAAGGCCAGTGTTCCATTTTTTGTGTTCTTAGCAGCAGAATTTCCTTAAGTAGAACCCTAGTGTTTAAACAAATGCAGAACTAGAACTGGTCTGATAGAAGAGGTGTGTTTGGGAGGGTCTACAGAGCATAGGTTTGGATGCTATTTCTTTGTTTAACTCAAGGATTGACAAATTATTGCCTGTGGGTCAAATGTGGCCTGTTTTTGTATGGTTCGTGAGCTAAGAATTGTTTTCATATTGTTAAAAGAGTTGTAGGGGGAAAAGAAAGGAAAAGAAAGCGACTGTGACGGAGACCATAAGTGTCCTGCAAAGCGTAAACTACTCTCAGCCCTTTACAGAAGCTTGCTGACCCCTGGTGTAACCCTTCATTTTACATATGAATAAAACTGAAGCTCAGAGAGGGCAAATGACTTCCCTAAGGTCACACAGCAAATTGGTGGTAGAACTTGTACATCAGCCCAGATTCCCAACTCCTCTAGTAATCTCTCTTCTGTCCTGGCCTGGTCCAGGGACCAGGACTTCTCCTTGCACCAGCCATCTGTCCCTCTGGGCACCTCCCAATGCCTATCTCTGACTCCAGACCTGTGCCCCACCCTGTTCTCCCTCCTGCTTCATTTGCCTTCTCACTCCACTGTCAACAAGTACACAGCTGTCCAAGGTTAGAACCACTTTCACTTCAGTTTTCCTCTGAGACCTCGGTCAGAGTCGGGGACCCTACGACATGAGCAAGGGAGAGGTTCTTACCTCAGTTGTGCAGATTCAGAGCCTGAGGCATGAAAGAAGTAGAGGTGTACAGAGCAGTCACGGTGGGGCCAGCCCAGAAGCCAGCTCTGTGCCAGGGCTTGTGCCAGGGCTGTCTCTCTCCACCTGTGCCACATGGCCTCTTTTTTTTTTTTTTTTTTATCCTCACCCAGGGACATTTTTGCATTTATCTTCAGATAGAGTGGGAAGGAGAAAGAGAGAAAGAGAGAGATCAATTTGGAGAGACACATCGACTGGTTGCCACCCACATAACCAAACGCATGGGGCCAGGGACAAACTTCAACCGAGGCACGTGCCCTTAGTGGGAACCGAACCCGGGACTTTCTGGTCCACGGGCCGACGCTCTAACCGCTGAACCAAACCAGACAGGGCTGGCCTCTTAATGTTATCCCTGCTGAAGGGAGCAGGAGGAACTTCCTGGATGGTGTACGCATGTGCACAAGCTCCATGTTCTGGCCTGAAGGAGGGTCATTGTGAGGTCTGAGTGCCAGGGGCCTCACCCGCAGAGGAGGCCACTGTAGTCTTGGGGCCCAGCTTCTGGCATCATCGGGGGAGTCCCTAACCCTTTGGGGCCTCAGATTCTGTCATCTGTAATGAAAGGGGTTTGAACAGAAGTCATCTCTAACATCCCTCCAGGCTCTGACCTTCGGAGGTAAGCCTAAATGTGGTTGATGGCACAGGAGTTAAAATTCTGAGACTTGGGTCTGAGTCTGCACCTTACCTCCTATGACTTGGTGACAGTGTGGTGACAGTGGGCAAGTCACTTTAACCCCACTGAGCCTCTGTGCCCACATCTCTGTTTGTTTTTCTTCAATCCTCACCCAAGGATATTTTTCCATTTATCATCAGATATAGTGGGAGGGAGGGACAGAGAGAGAGAGAAACATTGATGTGAGAGAGACACATTGACTGGCTGCCTCAGGCACAACCCGACCAGGACCAGGACAAACCGCCACTGAGTGCCCTTGACTGGAATTGAACCCGGACTCATTAGTCCGTGGGCCGATGCTCTATCCACTGAGCCAAACCGGCCAGATGTTCCCACATCTCTAAAATGCGGACACGTAACACTCCCTCATGATCATTGGGTGAGTTACTGAGATGATCCGGTGTGAATGTGGTTTTTAAAAATATGCCCTGGCCAGTTTGGCTCAGTGGTTGGAGCGTTGGCCTGCGGTACAGAGAGACCTGGGTTCGGTTCCCACTAAGGGCACGTACCTTGGTTGCAGTTTGTCCTCGGCCCTGGTTGGTCGTGTGGGTGGCAGCCACTCGATGTGTCCCTTCACATCGATGTTTCTCTCTCTCTCTCTTCCTCTCTCTCCCTCCCGCTCTATCTGAACAAAAAATGGACAAATGTCCTCGGGTGAGGATTAAAAAAAAAAAAGTTTTTATTGATTTTTAGAGAGACAGGAGGGGAGTGAGAGAGAGAGAAAGAAAAACATCAGTGAGAGAGAAACATCAATCTGCTGCTGCCTCGCACGTGCCCCCTACTGGGGATTGAGCCCAAAACCCAGACATGTGCCCTGACCAGGAATCGAACTGGGGACCTCTTGGTGCATGGGACGATGTTCAACCAACTAAGCCACACTGGCCAGGGCCAAATGTGATTTTTAAAAAGCTTATGTGAGTCCTGGCTGGTTTTGCTCAGTGGTTAGAGCGTTGGCCTGCGGTGCAGAGAGTCCTGGGTTTGGTTCCCGCTGAGGGCACATGGCTTAGTTGCGGTTTGTCCCCGGCCCTGGTTGGGTCGTGAGGGAGGCAGCCACTCCATGTGTCCCTTTCATGTCAATATTTTTCTCTCTCTCTCTTCCTCTTTCTCTCTCCCACTCTGTCTGAACAATAAATAGGCCCTGGCCCGTTTGGCTCAGCGGTTAGAGCATCAGCCTACGGTCCAGAGAGACCCGGGTTTGGTTCCCGCTAAGGGCGTGTACCTCGGTTGCAGTTTGTCCCCGGCCCTGGTTGGGTCGTGCAGGTGGCAACCACGTCGATGTTTCTTTCTCTCTCTCTCCCACTCTATCTGAACAAAAAAATGGAAAAATGTCTTTAGGTGAGGATAAAAAAAAATTTTTTTTTTAATGGAAAAATGTCCTCAGGTGAGGATAAAAAAAAAAAAAACTTATGTGAGCTCTGGCCATGTGGCTCAGTTGGTTGGGCGTCGTCCCGTGCACCAAAAGTTTGCCGGTTTTATTCCCAGAAGATGGAGCGGAAGCCTCTCCTTGAGAGCAGAGCAGGGCCCGGTAAGCCCTGGGTAAATGGGAGCCACTGTAATTATCGGCAAGGGCCGCGTGCAGACCAAGGCTGGGTTTCTGCACACCAGCTGTTCTCTGCCTGCACTTACCATTTAATCCTCTCAGCACCCCTCTGAGGTTGGTGGAATCATCCTTTTTTAGAGATGAGGGAACAGACTCACAAACATTAAGTCACTTGCGCACAGTTACCGCAATTAGTAAGGTCAAGCAGTCGGGCATAGCAGCACGGATGCATTTCCCGAGCAATGTTTGGTTGGGCTTTAAGGAAGGACTCAAACGGTGAGATTCTAGGCATTGGGATGTATTTGGCAGGGGATATCCTTGTCCTATCCACATCTCTGGGTAGGAAATCACCTTCTTACCTCTATGTGGAATGAAACTTGGTGTCTGAAGAGTAACTGATGACCAGTGTAGCTAGAGTGGTTGAGTGTGCGCTGTGGGGGGAAGGTAGGCAGGGGCCAGATCATGTAGGACCTTCTCAGCCCTGGTCAGAACTTGCATTTTATTTTAAGTTCTCTTTATATCAGAGCACAGCCTTTAAGGGGAAGAGTCGAAGCAAGGTGACGGGCCAGGAAGAGGGGCTCGGACAAGGACCGCAGCAGCGGACTGGGGAGAAATGGGCAGCTTGGGGAATTCATTTGGTTGTGGAGATGAACTTGAGGCTGGATTGGATGTAGGGGGAACGACAGGATTATGGGATTCTTGGGCCTTTTGGCCTAGGCAATGGTTCCTTCATTAGGAGAATGAGCACAGCATTTTGTTTTGTTTTTAACACAAAATGTCTTCTTTTTTCCTAGTTTTTAAAAATTATTGATTTTTGAGAGCAAGAAAGAGAGAGAAACATCAATTTGTTGTTCTACTTATTTATGCTTTTATTGGTTGGTTCTTGTATGTGCCCTGACTGGGGATCGAACCCGCAACCTTGGCGTATCAGTATGATGCTTTAACCAACTGAGCTACCTGGCCAGGGCAGGAGGATACTTTTTTAAAGACAGGAGCTACTGGAGTATGATTCTGTGTTGATGGGAATGATCTAGACAAGTGAGAGAAATTGATGACGCAGGAAAAACAAAAAAATGATTTCAGGGACAAGGGCCTTGATAATGAAAGAGGGTGAGTTTTGAGAGCAGGAGAGGAGAGGACAGTGTGGGAAATGAGGGCGGTTGCTAGAGCTGGTGCCGGGAAATGGAGGGTGTCCTGTGCCACGAGGTGTGGGACAGGGTGGGAGAGAAGAGAAGGGCACACGGTCATCCAGAGAACCAGAAGGCTGTTCTTGTGCTCTGAGGTCTGACCAGAGGCTTCCGGGCACCAGGACCAGTCATAACCCTTGTCTGTTTGTCTCCAGAGCCATCGCTGACTTCCCAGCAGGTCCTGCCGCCGCCACCATCCCTTGTCCCTCTGGAGGCCACTGACAGCATGCTGGAGCTGCCGTACCCCCTTCTGCAGCAGACCGAGGACCAGTTCCTGTCCCCAACCCTGACAGAGAGCTCCCCTCTGATCAGCTTATCTCCGCCCTTGGACCAGGATGACTACCTGTGGGGCCTGGACGGGGGCGAGGGCATCAGTGACCTCTTTGACTCCTATGACTTTGGGGACCTGCTAATTAATTGAGTTAACCTGCCTGCCCCCAGCAGTTCCACCACTGTCTCTACCTCCTCACAGACAGACTGACAGGCCCTCTGCCTGCGCAGGGACATTGGACACAAGATGCTACCCTTTGGGTATGGGGGTCTCCTCTCCTTCCTGCCCTGCCTTCCTGCCAGCCGAAGCTGTCTGATGGGGGTTTGTGGAGGGTCGGTGAGGATTGTATCAGGGGTTGGGTCCTGTCCTTCCTACTAGAAGTAGGGCCTGGGAAGGCCCATTCAGTCTTCTGACCTCTGACCTCTGACGCGAAGGGCCACAGACATGATCAGGTCCAGGGAAAGGCTCTGCCACTGCCTTTGGAGGGGTAATTAGGACCCTCAGTTTATCGAAGAGCACTTACCGCCTTTGTATTTATTTCAGGTTGAGTTTTGTTTGTGTGTCTTCCCTGAGTTTTAGCAGGGACCTTGTTCTAGTTCTACAAGACTTGTCAGATGGGCTCAGCACTGTCTGCCGTCCAAGGGCAGTCCTGGGCTTCCCGGGCCCCGGGCCACTGGTTCCCCCCCTGCGGCGAGCCGGGGTCTCCGGGGGCCGTCCAGCGGTGGAAGGATCACTGCACTGGGCCCCTAATTCTAGTCAGAGCTGCTGAGGCTCCCTGGTGTCCTCTGTCCCCAGATGGTTCCAGGGAGTCATCCCGGCCCAGGGGGCACTGAGGCTCCTGAGGAAACAGGACCAGCCAGTTACGGAGCCCCCCTCCTGTGGAGGTCCTTACTCCTCTCCCTTAGAGTGTCGGTGTGGCCCTCCAGGGAGGCAGCAGGGGCGCCCGTGAAGCAGGGACAGCAGTGTGGAGGCAGCTGCGATGGTCGCCGCAGGTGCCTCTCCGTTGCTGCCTCTCGCTGGGATGGGCTGTTTTACATGAGGACCCGGGGGCAGAGGCGGCTGCACCTCAAGAAGGGTGAGGCTAAGACCAGAAACCCTTCTGTACACACCCTTCTGTAGCAGCCGATACCCTCCTCCTCCTCCTCACAGGAGGATTTTTCCCTCCTGTTTGTCCCTTCCCCCCCAGGGACAGAGGTGACCAGGGCATGATGACATGCTGGCTCCTTTTGTCACAGGAATGCAGAAAGGGTGACAGAGAGGGGTCTTCGCTGCAGACCAGACTTAGGGAGCTGATGGGGAGATGGGTTCATGTTATCTCTTCGGACCTGGGTTCTGAGAAGGTCTTTTGGCCTCACCCTGTCATCATGCCCCCCCCATGCTTGACCATCCCACATTGTCTCTGTAGCCCAGTTGGGGGGGTCACTCTCTGGGCTGAACCAAGGCTGTGCCTTCTGGAGGGAGGCAGCCAGGGCAGTGGTCTGAGAGGCCCACTACCCACCCACCCTCAGGGAGCTAGGTTTCCGTAGGGGCTCAGCTTGGCAGCACTTTTTTTTTTCTTTTTAAGTTTGTAGCATTAAGTTGGCTTAAATATGAATTTGACCTTGTGGGATTGCTCTTGAGCTGCCCTATGGACATCTGAGTTTTTGGACCAGGGTCCAGTGTGAGGTAATGCCCCCCTGAGGACAGCTGTGTCTTGTCATGTGCAGGTCAAAGGTGCCAGTTTTATAAACAGGGCTAATTCTGTATGATTAACAGAAATGCCTTTGGTCTCTCCCCCTCCACAGCTCCACACTGCTCTCATCAAAAGCCCATTTCGAAGCCCAGCACGCCCAAGACCAAGGGACCCCCTTGGCCCTCGCAGGAGAGGGGTGCTGCCTGGTCTGGCTTGGGGCTTGTGGGGCTGGAGATGGTGTTGCTGTTCTGAGTTCTCTCTGGGCTGCGTTTAGCCACTCACCATCTCCAAAGGCAGGGGTGTTTGACTTCCATGCCTTGGGCTCTTTCTTGGGCTCTTTCTAGAGCTTTCTGCCAGAATTAAATCCAAGAGAAGGAAGAAGAGGCCCGCAGGAGCCGCTGGGAATGAGTTTAAAGGTGAGGTCTGGCCAGGATTCAGGCTCATTCTCCAAATGCCCAGCCATAGGGTTGGGCAGAGGGGCTGTCCCTTGGGCCCCTGGCCTGTATCCTGGGCCCCTGCCTTCTCCTATGTTGTCCCCTCACTCAGGGGCTGGACCACCCAGACCAAGCCTCAGACTCGGGGGAGGAAACAAATCCAAGCCTCTTTCTTCCTAATGACACCTGAAATCTCCCAAGTTCACTCAAGTGCTTTAGGAACATATAAGGCACATTATTTTTGCCAGGAAATTCCCCAGCTCTGTTGTCAGCCCCTAAGTCACCTGTGCCGAGAGGGACATCAAAGGCTCGGGGCTCCAGGGAACCCAGTAGTATTAAATTGTTGAGTAGAGTCAGAGATTCTAAAAGATTTCGTAAAACTAGGGACATGCTCCCGTGTCCCTCCCCATCGAAAGTGTTAGCTGGACCAGAGTGGCGTCCCGTCCCCACGGCAATGCTGGTCTGACTAGCGCAGCTGCAGGGAAGAAGGGGATGGGGAAGTTCGTAAAACTGGCTCTAGGATGGTTTGGGCTTTATTTTCTTTACCCAAGTGTTCGCAGCATCAGCTCTGCACAGTGTTTAGAGTTTAGAGTGAGTTTGGATGTCCCTGTGTCCGAGTGTTGTATGGCTTAGTGCATTTGAAGTGAAAGCCTCGGGGGTTGCTTGGTTCTTGTCATTGCGTGCCGAGGTCCCCAGCTCATCCTGGGACCCTGTTCTCCCATGAGGAGCCTCAGTAACCAGAAACCCAGCCAGCCCGGTGAGTGAAGAAGCCTAGTATGTGGCACATGTATCTCGAGGGTGAGCACACCCGAGGGAACCTGGTCTTGGTACTGGGACTCTCACTTACCTCTGGTCCTGCTTTGATGAACACCATGTAAACCTCCTTGTGTTGTGATAATCGGGTATTAAACAGCAACTCTGGGCGCCTTGTCTCTGCTGTGCTTTCTGAAGGTCATTACCAGTGTGGGTCTGGTCCTATCGTCATGGGGACTATCCAGACCCACTGGCTGATTTCTCCCCAGAAATAGCCTCCCCTTTCCACATTGGCTTATTACCAGGCCTGAAATCTCACCATTGAGACACTGAAAAGTTGGCAGCACGCAGATTTAAAATGTGAGCACCTGCCCTGCTCTGCCTCCATCGCCTCCCATCAGGGCTATTTCAGTAGCTTACTTAATATCCTCTGGCTACTCGACCTCCATCTCACCCTCTCTGGAAGTGGTTTCAAAGTGTGGTCCACAGACCAGCACTACCTGGGAACTTGTGAGAAATGCATATTCTCGGTCTCCACTCAAGGCTTTCTGAAGAAGAAACTTGGAGTAGGACCCAGAACCACATCTCAATAAGCCCTCCGGGTAAATCTAATGCAGCTGAAGTTGGAGAACCATATTCTCTGCTACGCCAGAGAGATCTTTCTAAAACACCGTTCTAATTGCGCCGCTCCCCTGCTTAATGGACGGCTCCTCTCTGCCCTTAGGATTAAGTGTCTCCCTTTGCTTGGCATGAAAGTCCACTCCCAACCTTACAGCTGTCTCACCTTACCCTTCCAGCCTCACTGGCCACTCCTTCCCACCACTCAGCCACATTGGACCTCTTTATTAGTTCCTGAAAACAACATGTGTTTTCTCCTCTGGGCCTTTACACGTGCTGTGCGCTCCACTTGGCAAGCCCTTCTCCGTTTCAGCTGAACCAGCTCCTGAGTATTCTTCAGGGTCTAGTTTAAGAGTCTTGTAGTTTTCCCTGATACTAACATGTAACCTTTAATACTTTGTACACAAATATGGTTGTTTATGCTAGGCACTGGGGAGATAGAAGTGAATAGGAATAATCCCCATACTCGGGATGCTCACAAGACACAGACACATAAAAATATCAGTACAGCCTGGCCGGTGTGGCTCAGTGGTTGAATGTCGACCCATGCACCAAGAGATCGCCGGTTCAATTCCCAGTCAGGGTACATGCCCAGACGGTGGGCCAAATCCCCAGTGGGGAGAATGCAGAAGGCAGCCAATCGATGTTCTCTCTCATCGATGTTTTCTTTCTCCTCTCTGTCTCTCTCTAAAGTTAATAATAATAAAAAAAAAATCATTACAAATGATGTGACAGTTGCAGTAATATACATTATAGGAGTTGAGGGGTCAACAGGGAAGGCTTCCTAGAGGAGGTGATGTCCAAACTACAGGAGTAGCCTGGAGTTGGACATGTAGGGGACAAGAGCCCTTCCAAACAGAGTAGTCAGTATGTTCTGTCCTGTGGTCCAGCAGACGTAGGTGGGCATTACACGGCACTGCTCGCTGCCCAATGCTGCTCGCTTGGAGCTCTTGCCCTAGGAAAGCGCACTGAGTCAAAGAGGTTGACACAGACCCTGAGGGCAGTGGGATGAGGGGACAAGGTCCTGTTAGACCATAGGGTCTGGAACTTGACACCAAGAAGTCAGTTTACATGTAAGGCATGAAGACAATCCCAGGTAAGCAAAGCAAGGTCTAATTTAGGACATTAGTATAGACAAGGGAAATTAAAAGATGCCATTTATTAAGTCTCTTTTTGTTGTTGTTAGTCCTCACTTGAAGACATTTTTTCATTGACTTAGAATGGACACTTCAATTGGTTGCCTCCTGCATGACCCTGACCGGGGTTGGGGATTGAACCTGCCACCCAGGTACATGCCATTGACCGGAATTGTACCTGCGACCCTTTGGTCCATAGGCCAACTCTAACCACTGAGCCAAACTGGCCAGGGCCATTTGTTAAGTCTTTATGAATGTCTGGGCCCAGTACTGTGCTGAGTCCAAAACACAATCTCATTTAATATTCACTTTATGAAATCAGTACTATTATTGCCACTTTATAGATGAGGAAACTCTATTTTTTAAAAATATAAATCCTCACCTGAGGATATTTTTCCATTTATTTTTCAGATAGAGTGGGAGGGTGGGGTAGAGAAAGAGCGAGAAACACTGATGTGAGAGACACACATCGACTAGTTACCTCCTGCACAACCCCAACCAGGGCAGGGGACCAAACTGCAACCAAAGTATGTACCCTTGACCAGAATCAAACCCGTGACTCTGGTCTGAGGGTCGACACTCTAATCACTGAGCCAAACCGGCCAGGACAGGAAACTCTATTTTAAATATGTTCCCAGGTAGCTCTCACACTTTGCTGGTGGAATGTAAAATGATATAGCGATTTTGGAAAACAGTTTGGCAGTTCCTCAAGAAGATAAACAAAACTACCATAGGACCCAGTAATTCCACTCCTAGGTGTCTACTCAAGAGCAATAAAAGCATGCCCATGCAAAGACAAGACTTGCACATGAATGGTCATAGCAGCGTTATTCATAATAGCCCCAAAGTGGAAACAGCTATATATCCACTAACTAGTGAACAGAGCCAAATGTTAGATTCATGCAGTGGAATACTATCCAGCCATAAAAGGGTACAATATGGATGCTCGAAACAATATAAGTGAAAGAAGCTAGTCCCTAAAGATAACATACATTCCATTTGTATGAAAAATCCAGAAAAGGCAAATCTATAGACAAAATAAGTTAGTGGTTGCCTGAGATTAGATGTAGGAATGAGATGAAGTAAATGGGCATAATGGCTCTTCTGCATAGAAATGCATTCTCAACAAAACACTAGCAAAACAAATCCAGCCACAAAAATAAAACAAATTAGGCACCAAGGGATTTATCCCAGGAACGCAAGGTTGGTCTAAAATCTGAAAATCAGTTAATGCAATACACCAAATCAGTAGAATAAAGGATGAAAACCACATTTATTTTGGGGAAAATCCTATGAGCTGGATATTGTTATTAGCCCCATTTTTACAAATGAAGAAAGTGAGACTCAGAGTTTAGGTAATGTACACATGGTTATAAGTAAGTGACAGAGCCCAGGCTCTGGGTCCCCAAGAGTCCCTACTCCTTTCTTTTTTAAAATATGTTTGGATTTTTTTTTTAGAGGAAGATAGCAACATCAATGTGAGAGAGAAATATTGATGGGCTGCTTTCTGCACGCACACCCACCACCAGGGATCGAGCCCACAACTCAGGCTTGTGCCTTCACCAGGAATTGAACGAGAACCTCTCAGTCCATGGGACGACTCTCAGTCCATGGGTCGACGCTCAATCCACTGAGCCACATCGGCTGGGCAAGAGTCCCTACTCTTAACCTGTAGTTAAACTGCACCTAAACAAGCGATTTAATGATGTGTTATAAATGCTACCATTAAGGAAAGAATAGGGTGCTGTGGAAGCCCAGATGGACTCCTTCTATGGAAGAATGAACTCAGAGAGGTCCCATTGGGGATAGACCTGAAGGAGACATTTGCCAGAGGAAAGAGAGGGAGAAGGCTGTGCAGCAGGCAGAACAAACCACTCTGGAAAAGGCCAGATTGTTTCATAGTTAGAATATATAGGATAGAGTGTCCCAGTAAATTCCAATTCACAGGTCTCAGGCTCGTGCCAATCCTCAAGTGACCATAGCGGAGAGTGGGAACATAACCAGCAGGATAGGATGCCCAGTGTATCTGCTGGCCGGTTGCTGTGTTGACCCATTCAAGGCCAAGGCCATCCCCCACCCCCACCCCCCTCGCGCGCACACGCACACGCACAGTGTGTGTGTTCCTTCAAAGGGATCACTGATCACCAAGCAGATTATTTTCCCAGCATAGAGACCGCTGCCCTCTGGTGGCCACTCTGATAAATGCTGAAATTGGGAGGGGAGGGGGGAAACGACACTGTATTGAGACTGTTAAGGATCATTAAAGACCAGGTTTGATTTTCTTTAATCTCCCAAAAATCTTATTGAGCCCTGGCCGGTTTTGCTCAGCGGTTAAAGTGTCGTCCCGCAGTCCAGAGAGACCGGGGTTTGGTTCCCCCTAAGGGCAGGTACCTAGGTTGCAATTTATCCCCGGCCCTGCATGGGTGGCAACCAGTCCATGTGTCTCTCTCATGTCCATGTTTCTATCTCTCTCTCTTCCCCTCTCTCTCCCTCCTGCTCTATCTGAAGATAAATGTAAAAAAGGCCTCGGGTGAGGATTAAAAAAAAAAACCTTATTGAATAAAAATCCTTATTGAATAGATATTGTTCTCAGTGAGGCTCAGAGAGGTGAAGTTACTTTCCTAAGGTCACACAGCTGGAAGTGGTGAGGCAGTAGGGTGAGAGGCGCCTCACCTGCCTCATCCTAGTCCCAGCACTGGTGATGGAACAGGACTGGAATTGGACCAGCCAAACTCCAAGACTCATGGTCTTAACTACCCTGTGGCCCAGACTCCTAATTGGCATTAAAGGGGTTCCATTCTGACCTTGGACATTTCCTTTGTGTATACAATGCTAGATATGGGTGGAACAAAGACACAGCCCTTTACCCATGAAGAGCATGATTTATTTTCTGTAAATGTAAATTATGAGAAGACACCATACTCCAGGATCAGCAAAGGAAGCGTTATGTCTGTGTGTGTGTGTGTGTGTGTGTGTGTGTGTTTACATATGTGAGTGTGCGTGTGTGTTTGGTGCCCTAAGGGAAGTCTGAAGGCAATGTCCCAGCCCCAGGGAGTCTTCACCAGGCAGTGCCAGTTGGCTCTAGGCAAGCTCCTTGGAGGTGCTGGGGAAACATTTGTTGGATAAATAACCATGAACTCACGACATAGTTGATCTGCTGTCCATTGTGATGATACACATGATTGTTATTGTACTGTGTGGTCATGAGGCATAGAAGAAAAATGCTCACCAGTGTGAAGGTAACTAGCATTCCTTTCACCCTAACATACCCAGTTTGGCAATTTTAGTTCTCATTTTGCCAGCATTTTTCATCAGGGTCCAAGTCAGTAGTTTTCCCTAAAACCAATTCACAAGTTTTTGTTTTGTTTTGTTGGTTTATTTTTTCTTTATTGATTTTTAGAGAGACATCAATGAGAG